GAATTAAATGTTTTGATATTTATATTACCTCAATAGATCCTCATTTGCATATATTTAAATGTTTTAAAAGCTATCGATACTTTTCAGTAGTATGCACATGCAGAAAAAGGCTTTACACACATTAAATCTTACTGGGTTCCAGCTGGAAGGGCATCAGCTTTGTAAAACAAATGCTGGATAAGTTGGCGGTTTATTTCGCTGTGGCAACACCTGATGAAAAAAGGGACTAAGCCAAAGGAAAATGAATGAGTGAATGATTTTAAACCTTAATAAAAAACAAATTCGAGAAAACAGCACTGAATTACACTAAGAAAACTGCCAAACCACACAGCTACATAACTATTTAGAAAGAGGAAACCAAAAGGTTTGGCCTTGTGTTTATACAGAAACATCACATGACCCGCTATGAGCCCAATTGTCAAAACAAAGCTAAGCATTTAGCTTCAGTTCCCAATAACAGTGCAGAGTGCAAGTGAACACACAAAAAAAGCCAAGACTCAACATTTACCAAGTTCTCCTCCTGTTTGTTAACACGTAAGAACCCACTGTCATTATTGAAAATATGGAAACTCAGAGGCTAAAAATGACAAAATGCAGTCCCGTCTGTAGAATGAAAACTGACAAACATGACAATAGTCTTAAAAAGTATGTGCACACTCAAGCGACACCTAAACAATGTCAGTGATTTCGATGTTAAACTAAGCAAAACACTTACAGACGGACGTTTATTAGATGCAATGCAGATACTTCTGAGATTCTTGTCCGCAAGCCAAGTGAAGCATCGCCATGCATGGAGATGCTAATCTCTCACGGTGGACCCGAGTGAAACGGGATTCCTCTACTCTGACAAGGACATTGTATTCTGAGCAAGCGTTTGCCCCCACACGTACATGCACACACACAAACACACTTGCAGGCGTGCTTTGTTCTGCTTTTCTAATGTCAGCCCTGTGAGAAGCTTGAGGAACAAAGATGTCTCTTTTTGCGGGATCTGATTCTGATCTGAGTCCTCCTGGAAAAATTATGTTTTGGAAACAGTTGGTCGATCATACCATGTAGTTGATGGTACACATTTGATAATAAAATATTAAATATGACTTCAATAAAGACCTCATTTACAATTTTGTTTTGATATTATAGTAATTCATGTTTAATGTACTTAAGAATTAAAGGAAAATCTGAATCTACAAAGGCACAGATGAATCATAATATTTCAGTATATGAAAATGATATACAGTGAGCCTCAAACACTCAAAACGCGCTACTTGTTCAAACTGCTTATTTAAAATGAGCTCAGTCAACACAATTCTTGTTTTATGGGGAACAATTGTTTTATGCTTAATCCACTTAAATTTGTAAAAACAATTAAGTTAACTTTACCAATTTGTGTTGGGACAACATAAAGGAATTGTGTGGGACCCTGCATTTTTTACAGTGCACCATTAGCCGTATTTCCACTGTCAGGCCAGTGCAAGCCAGGGCTTTTATTGGGCATGGGCCGGGCTAATCGCCCGGAAGGTTGAGCAGTAAGGTCGAAATCATGTCGCGTTTCCACTGTCGAGCTAGTAGCTCGCAGTGATCCACCCAAACCCCGCCCCCAGATTGTCTCCCGAATCAAACTTTACACAACCCGCCCACTTCAGCGGGAATCAGGCAGATAAAGCAAACCATCACGAAACCATTAAAATGAAGACAACCGAAACAAACAAATGACGCGTTACTGTACAGCATTACATATATCTAGATGCACAGCCCTGTGTGTTCTCATTCATCATATTCATTTACTCACCGAACGACTGTTGGCATCATACATCGAGTGGTCTCGCCAGGGCAGGGAGCGCACCATCAGGCACGAGCACACATAGGTCTCAACCTGTGCAGTGCACATGCCCTTTTTAATCTTGGATAGAAAGTGCCCTTCCAAAATGATCTGAAATGTCCCCGCGAATTTGTTAAGTTTTATGTCTTTCTTTTGTATTTATATTGTTTATTATCTCCAAAATAAATAAATTTAAAAAAAAGAGAAAGCCGCTCGCGGCATCAACAGAGCTGTAAAGTGAATGCTCTTTTGCTCGGTCTCACATTCATATACAGGCATCTAAACGCGCAAAAACACACCTTTTAAACTTGACAAAAACTCTCGAAAACCTTTACTGCATGCTGTGTCTTTAATATGGTGTAAAGATTATTATGTGCTATTAAAACATCAAGGAGGACGCAGCAAAGAAAAGTCACCTATAAATTAAAACTTTATTATTTTATGCAAAAGCCTAACATTTAAAAGGGAAACATAAGGACGATTATTTGCAAAAAGACCCCAGCCTATGAGGCTAGATGTTTTCTTTTCCTTCTTTATTATTTGTTTATTTGTTTGGTGCATGTACTCGTCTGCGATCAGAAAACTAGTGTCCGCCTCTCCTTTCACTCCACCCTGAAGCCCCAGCTGGCCCTCTTTGGCCCAAGGCTATTGATTCCTTGTGCTTGAAAAATCCTGATGAAAAACAGCCCAATCAGATTGCAACCTGCATCATTAATATGCACGCCCTAGGTTGCGTTTGATTGGCCACAATGTTTCCTAGTGACATTACAACAATGATGATTTTTTTCTAAGCTTGCAGTAAACTTACTATGTATGTGGGACATGGGTTTTCCTATAGATTTTCTCTATATCTTAGTAAGTTGCGCTAATAGATGTCGAATTACAGTGCTGGTGTGCGTCAATTCATGATTTTTTCATTTCCAAATTTTAAAAGACGTTGCAAGGTGTGGCGTTTTGTGTCCGGTGTTTGATGGGCTTTGATAAGGAGTTGTTTTTACCCAACCATCTGTTCACATCACGTTACAATACAAAATATGGAATAAACAGATAATACATTTATTCAGCATCCCCACGAAGAGGCACGTAGTCAATTTTTTAAAATTGTTATTTATTAGGAGTTTTTACCTTTAATGGACTGGACAGTAGAGAGCATTGACAGGAAAGCATGGGAAGCAGAGAGAGGGGAAGGATCGGCATAGGACCACAAAGCGGGAATCAAACTCAGGTCGCCGTGAGCACCAGAGTGCATATATCGACACCCTAAGTGCTACACAACTGGCACAGACAGCACATGATGTATGTTTTGAAATTTTCCTCTTTCATTAATTTAGATTTTTTTTACATACCTAAGCCACATACTGCACCTACTATGTAGTTACCAGAGAACAATTAAATTTTTTAAATCAGTGCACTCTATTACACCTATAAAAGTAAAAAGTACTAATTGATAAATTACGCAACTGAAAAAACTGAAAGGATCTCTCATTTTTGTCATTTTTCTTTTTTTGACTAAGTTTGTAAATTTAGTCTCACTGCACACTCCTCGCTCCGACCAGAACATTTGTGAGTCATCAACTAAAGACTCATTCTAAATGAATCATTTGAATCAGTGAGTTGTTGGCTTATAAACAGATGTGATCAGATCTGACTACTTGACAAATTAGGAGGCTGATCACACCGAACACGCTTTTACTTTCCAAAAATGCAACGAGCAACGCAATGCTTTTTTGTTGACAAAAAGAATAAGGGTTTGAGTAGGAGTAGGCTTAAAAAATAATTTGTAATAAACAATTTATTAGGTAATTTAATAGATAGCATAAATAATAGTCGGTACAACTACTGTTTTTATGTTACTGTGATGGTTGGGTTTCAGTTGGGGTGTGGGTAGACATTAAAAAATACAATTTATTTGGTAATTTCATAGATAGCATAAGTAATACTTGGTACAACTACTGTTTTTATTTCACTGTGATGGTTGGTTTTAGGTTTGGGGTGGGGGTAGGCATTCAAAATTACAATTTATTGGGTAATTTAATAGATATCATAAGTAATACTCGGCACAACTACTGTTTTAACGTTACTGTGACGGTTGGGTTTAGGGTTGGGGTGGGGGTAGACATACAAAACTACAATTTATTTTTTAATTTAATAGATAGCATAAATAATACTCGGTACAACTACTGTTATAACGTTACTGTGGCGGTTGGGTCTCAGTTGGGGTGGGGGTAGAAATAAAAAAATACAATTTATTTGATAATTTAATAGACAGCATAAGTATTACTCGGTACAACTACTGTTATAATGTTACTGTTACGGTTGGGTTTAGGGTTAGGGAAGGGGTAGACGTTAATAAAATACACAAAATGGTAAATTTAATAAATATATTAAATAATTCTCCTTAACTTCCGGCTACAACCTTATCCGATCTAGCAACAATCCTTCCCTGTCTTCAGAAGTCTCTGTAGTTGTGGTGACAACACAAACACTGCTGTTACCTCAACAAAAAATCTGCCTCTGCTTTTATTTGATGGGAGAATTAAACAGATGGAACACGCTTTTTCTGCTCAGAGTTGACTTTTTTCAACTGCAAGCACAGCAGGCGCTTAAAATGTGAGGCTTGAAGGGCGCATAAGCAGCACGCAAAATGCTTGTGGCCATTAGTAAATCATTCAAAATAGGCGTCTCGCAATGCAAAAAGCGTGTTTAGTGTGATCAGCCCTTAACTGTATTATTTGTGAATCATTTCAATCAGTGAGTTGATCACTAGTGAACAGATGCACAATTGGATCTGTCCAGTTTCATCTCATTCATGAAAAGGACACCATATATAACAAATTTATGAAGTGTAGTGCAGTAAAAAGTACATTGTAAAAAAAGCTGGGTTCCACACAATTCCTTTATGTTGTCCAACTTAATCATTTTTACAAATTGAAGTAAATTAAACATAAAACAATTAAGTTGTCATAAAAACAAAACTTCAAGAATTGTGTTGTTTCAACAGAATTTAAATAACTAATTTAAATAAGCAGCAAAAGTAATTGTAGTATGTAGTGTATGTAGGGAAGAAAAAATATTTCCAAAAAAAAAAAAATGTTTGGATAAAGTACACATTCTTATAAAACATACTTAAGTACAATAGTGAAGAAAAAAACTTGGTCGCTTTCCACCTCTTGTGATATGAGATCATTTAGAGCTATCCGGAGTGCTAAATGTCAGTGGGAGGCATGTTAGAGGGAGTTTGAGGACCAGGATGTGTAAAGTCAATGACTATTTCTCCCTCATTCCTCTGCACTGTGTCATATAAAGCGGAAGGTGGTGAGTGAGACAAGGCTTTACCTTTGACCTTTGCGATGAGGGTCCCTGCTGCGCTGAGGATCTCCACTGAATTCAGGGAGTGGTGTTTGGAAATCACTGCTTTTAATACACGCAGCAGCTCTCCCAGACGCTCGTGAACCACCTGATGCAGACAGTCCTGGTGATCTGAAATGCATAGATGGAGGAATTTTAGTCATGGAATAAAAAAACAAACTGAACCACACTACATTTTTATATATTCTGAAGAAACGTTGATCCTTAATTGCTTAACAAGTTGCCACCATGAGGCCAATGTTATATGGTTCCTGAGGTGTTCTGGTTCGATTTAAAGGGGTTTCTAGGGTGTTCTTGGTCATTTGGGGTGGTTGCTAGAGCACTGTGATGTACTGTATTTGGTAGGGCTTTGATAAAGTGTTCTGAATTGTTGCGAGGGTATTTTTCCTGGGAGTCTCCTGTATTTCAGACCCACCCCCCGCCATCTACCCCGTTTTGTCATTTCTCCTATTTCCATCTCCCACAGTAGGTTGTTGGTAGGATGTACAAAGTACTTTATAGGACATTGCTAGGTGGTTGGTAAGGTATTGACAAAATGTTTAAAGTGGGACACTAGAGTCATACTAAAACCATCTGAGTTACGTTAGGGCAGAGGTAGGGTGCTCTGTTGTCCCGTCACATATCGATTATGCTGTGTTCACACCAGACACGGATAAAGCATCAATCTCGAGTGATTAACATGTTAATTCAATGCAAAGATGCAAACAGACATCCTGCGGTGCGATACGCATGAATGAGGCAGCGCGAATGATGCGATTCACCCGAATGAAGCGCTGCGAGTTGAGTGTTGCCCGTGATTGATGTGCTTATTGCACGAATCGCTCGGGTTGAGAAATCTGAACTACACTGGACATTCGTGCCATATTAACCAATCAGGAGCTTTGTCTTGTAGGGGCGTGATTATAATGTAGCACCTGTTGTTGGTGTCCTGAGGCGAAATCCTCTTGCCGACACCGGACAACAGTTCATTAAACTGGGCTCAGCTCAGCCCGAAGCACTGCTGAAAGCCTCCATCATCTAGGTACAGTTTCTGGAGGAGTTGATGAACTTACAGTGCTGGGTGCATCTTCAAAAGGATTTAAGGGACTTAGACACAGTGCCGAACAAATCTACGCTGTTTTTCAGCCTTCATAACACACATAAACACAACTACACTCTCTATAAAATCCATGTTATCCATTTAGCACCGAAGCTAGTAACCGGGCAGACAGAAGCCCCACCCATGACGTGAATCCATATGTATTGTTGATCCACAAATGAAGCGGATTTGATGCACGAAAAAAGCAAGTAAACTTAAAATGTTCACGCCTCTAATATTAAATCTATTTAATATTGCGATTTATCTGTGTGTGCCACATCTGGTGCGAACACAGCATTAGGATAACTTAATTGTTTTTACAAATTTAAAACGGAATGAACATAAAACAATTAAGCTGTCCCAAAAAAACTCAAGATTTGTGTTGACTCTGCTCATTTTATAAAAGTAGATTACAAAAAAGTGTAAACAGTCTAGATTCAAGGCACTGCTGTGTGATTGTTAGAATGTACTGAGTTGTTGCTAAGGAGTTTATAGATTGTTCTGGGCAATTTGTACTTTCAGATGTTGCTGGGATGTTGCTAGGGCATTGCCAGATGGTTAGTAGGGCATTGTCAAAATGTTGAAGGTGGTTGTTAGGGTGCTGGCTACTAGAATGATCTGTTGTTGCTATGTAGGGCATTGGCAGGGTGTTCGGAGTAGTTTCTAGGGTCTTACTATCAAGTTCATTACAAATATAGATTCCATGGCACTGCTGTGTGGTTTAAAGAGTGGGGGGGCAACAGTATCTCCAACAGAAAAATATTATTTAGCCTGACAAGTTTACTGCTCCAAAATATTTCAAATGTTTCTCAAAATAAAATACATTGTGTTCAAAGTTTTAGTTTAGAAAAGTTTTAGTTTTTTACCCAGACATTTAAAAAGAATATATTTTAGAGCAGTAACCACAATACCGCGAAACCGTGATGTTTTTATCCTAGGTTATCATACCGTCAAAAATTTATACCAGCCCATACCTAACTAGGCCACTGCAAGGATTTTTAAAGGGGTAGCAATGAAGTTGCTAGGTCATTGATAGTGTGTTCTGGTAACTAGTAAAAAGAGCCCATCCCATTCCTTTCATAGCCGTCCAGTGGAGGAAATTCTCTGAAAACATACTACTAAAGGTGCTGGTGGCTTGAAATTTTCCCAAAGAAATCCATTTATGCAAAGAAAACTAAACTAATTAGTTTACAAATTCAACTATGTGTAATAAAATGAAATGACAAAGGGAAAAAGTATTGAAAACATGAAGAAAGGGAGGTGTAGAAAGGCAGTGAAAGCCCAGACAGCAGCTGAAATCACTTTAGCAACCATCTGCCCTTTATCTGTGTAAATCAATATCAGCTGCATCAGTCGAACATCCACTATGATGATGAAGATGAAACTAAGGTGGACATTTCAGCAAGACAATGATCCAAAACGCAGCCAAGGAAACTCTCAAATGCTTTCAGAGAAAAAAAAAAACATGTTGTAGAATAGCCCAGCCAATCACAGGAATTCAGTCCAACAGAAAATACAAAATAAAGATCAAATTTGATAGACGGGACCCAAAGAACCGCCAAGATTTCAACACTCTGTTGAAGTCTGTGAAAAACTCACACCTGAGCAATTCATGTGACTTCATTCTACACATGAGAAAAGCATCTTTAAGCTGCCATCACCAAAAAAGCCTTTTATATAAAGTATTAAATACACTTTAGTAGTTCAATACTTTTCCATTGTGTTATTTCATTGTTATTAAACAAAACTAATTTATAAGTTTCTGTTTGTTTTCTTTTTTTTTTTTTTTTTGTCCGTTCTTCATACGTGGATTTCTCAATTAGCTGGATTTAGATATTGATGATTTGACACGATCCAGGACCGTTTTGTTCTTCAAAACTCATCTGAGACTTGTTGTCATAGCAACAGTTCTGGTAGTTCAAACCTGCTTGGGAGCAGGTTCATTTCATATAAACAGGATTAGATCGGGTCAGTTCAAGCAAAGATAATACTGAAAGTATGTACCAAGTGCTGATATTTTCTTACAGTTATATACATTTGGGAAAATAGTAAATATATATATATTTTTAAATATATATATATATATATATATATATATATATATATATATAAAGTTAAAAAAATATATATATTAATAAAACTTATGCAATCTGCACTCTGAAATAAAAGTACAAAGATTTATTTAAAGTATTTAAAGTAAAAATTTATTGCTATGAACTTTTTAGATACAACATAACATAACTGATTAACTGTTCGACGTGCACTGCTCTTTTTTGGAGCTCAAAGGAGCGCATGACTGTCTGTGGCTGTGTGTGTGTGGTTCTGTCCGTCTGCGTGTGTTTGCGACGGGGGCGGGGCGGAGGATTGGCGATGCCGGCTCAGCATTGTGTTGTCTATTGGCCATCAGCGATGGACGATGGAATCGTCTATCGGCCCAACCCTACTCTTGACACATTAAAATATAAAGCCTGCACCTCACAACATGTGGACAGTTTTTGCGTGTCATATTTAACAAACCGTTTACTGCTAATTTTATGTAATTTTGCCCACATGGATAAATGAATATTAATCAGATTATGTCATTACGCTGCTGTGCGTTAGCCAATCGTTGCATTGCTGATTATGATTTCGAGGATCGATGGATCTGTCCTTCACAACACATGCAGCGATCTCAGATCAGTTTCAGACATTTTAATCAGATTCGAAAACTTGTTTGAAGAACCACATTAACCAGGGATCAGTTATCAAGATTAAAAGATCCAGGATCTGCCAAATCATCTTAGATTATTTAAGCAAGGTATGAAGAACGGACCCCTGATTTAATTGCATGTCAACAGCTCCTTTAGAAATATTACTCCCAGGAAAAATCATAACATGTTCAATACTTATTTTCCCCACTGTAAGTCTGACAACTTACAATAAATAATTGCAATAAATAATTTTGGTTATTATTCAAGTCTGCAATTGTGAAAGAAATTGACACAGAAATCTCATGTGTATTCGTGAATTACAACTAATATTAGCGAGATAAAAAACGTTCTGAACACAGGACACAGAAAGGACAGAGACAAATAGCGATAAGTGCAAATACCAGACATCTACGTTCAGCTTAAGCAATACAACAATAGTTCTCATGTGTTAATTAGACACCCAATGCCAACTAACACGTCATCATACACTTAAAACGGCCTGAAAGAGGAAGAGCTTACACTAATTCTGAATGAATCCTTTGTTGAGATTAAGTACTGGTGGTCTGCGACATCACAATGGCACGAACCTGTCTGATCACTACATCTATACTATCAAATCTCATTTCCTCAGACTGATTCAGTGCTTAAGACGACCATTTCTGCTTTCATTAAGTAATTTGGGTTTGCTGTCTGCTCAGTCCAAGCACACACGGTACAATCAAACCAAAACTGTTCATTTTTCAGACATGTTCAAATGAATGCCTTCCAAACAGCTTATTTTGACCTTTTCCCCCCAGATTTGCACACAAACACATACCCATGCAAACACTTACCCATAACCACATTCAGGGGAACCATCGCACCCTCTCCCGTCTATCAAAGCCACATTTGTGCTGACGTGGGCCTCTGGATTACCCGGCGCATGGAAAAGGGGATCAGGGAGACTTTACCCCCTCTACCCTCTTTTTTCGCTCCATCTCTTTTCCGTAAAGCAACAAAAAGAGCCCGCGGTGGAACTAATGCTGCCGTAGATGGTGACTAACAGGGAAATGACAGTTGCTCTCTGGGGTCAACAATGTCTGAGCATTATAGTTACATAAGAGGAGTCACAGGAAAACTATTTTTTCATTATGTTAGCTATGCACTGATATTAAAGTTTTTTGGATGATTATTATTTTCATGTTATGGCAATTAAAAGCAGTGAGTGTTCAGTAATATATGAAACTTTGTTTTCTTTCTTTCTTTTTTTAAATATCAGCAAAAGAAGAAGTTAAGAAATAGCGTGCCTACTAATATTTAGTTTAGGCACAATGACATGATAATATAAAGTATTAAAAATACTA